GCTTTAAATTGGCGTTTTCATGTGAATTTTTTTTCATTTTACGCATACATTTGCGTTTTGTTAAACTTGGTAATTATAGAGACAATTAGAAAAATTGCCTAGTAGGAAAATAAAATTTGAATGGCAATAAAATTGATAAAATTCATTTCAAATCATTATTCATGAAGATTCTCCTAAGTAAGGGTTCTCTAGACATTTCCAAAGAATAAAAAAAAACTTTACATGTGTATTTCCCGCGAAACAAAAACGTTTGAATAATTTATACTCTTGACTTACGGGGTCAACGGAGGGTTTAGTAACCCACATTTTTCCAGAGCAAAAGAGCAAACGACGCCGGCAGCAAAAAGGCGCGGTTATGAATTATTCCCGAGGCCCAGGGCCATAAACGTGTGTGTTCAAGATGCGCGGCGCTGCAAAAAGTGTCCCCCTCGCGGCGGATGCGAAGAGAATTGCTCACGAGACACGGCGCTAATTGTTGGGCGTGCGAGCGAGGACCAGTCGGAGAAACAAAACACGCAGGGGCGTGACCTTCTGACATGTCACGGGCACTGCTCTGCTGCTCCAAACTCGAAAGCAATTCATTAATTTCGCGGCAAGCACGAGGAATAGTAAATCACCGAGCGAGAGAGCATTAAAATAATTACATGTGCGCTCAAAGCCGCTTTTTTCGCTGGCCGAGAGGTAGGTGCTCATTCCGCAGAGTGAAGTGTTTCTTTTTTTTACTAACCAGCTCGCTTTTTTATTCATTCACGGGTGCGATTTTTTGGCTGCCTCCCTATCCGGCCGAATAATCAGCGGCCGTTTATTTCATGGGTTTGGAAGAAAAATTTCCAGAAAACACGCCACTTCCTCGAATTATCGCCAACTTTGGTGCAGCGACAAGATCAGTGGACGTGATTAATAATTACCTTTCCATGTCGCAGTTCCATAAGAATCTGATTTCGGCTCCCAATTATCGGCTGATTCGGTCTCGTAAAATTTTATAGACTTTTGCGGTGGGCATTAAAATGGAGCGATAACGTCATAGCTAAGCATTTCAATATCCAGATACGTGAACTAAATTGAAAAGCTCATTTGGTTAAAGAATTCTAGAGTGAAAAATTGATTTAGCTTTAATAATGCAGAATAATGATATATTAGAAAAAATTAATTTGTAAGAAATCTGATAAAGCTAAAATAAGGTAAAAAATAATAAGCTGATTTAGGAAAAATTAGAAAAATCCATATTGAGATGAATTAGAAAAAGTAAATGTACCTCAAATTAGAAAAAGTGAATTTTTTATAATTCTGATAAAGCTAAATTAAGGTGAAAAAGAGTAAGCTGATTTAGGAAAAATTAGAAAAAGCCAATTTGATATAAATTTGCGGTGGGCATTAAAATGGAGCGATAACGTCATCGAAGCATTTCAATATCCAGATAGGTGGACTAAATTGAAAAGCTCATTTGGTTAAAGAAATCTAGAGTGAAAAATTGATTTAGCTTTTGCAGAATTTTAAAAGATGTAAAATTGATTGGAATTCATGGCACTGTTTGTAGGTTTCTTAAAGTATTTAAATTTAATGGTGAAAATTTATTTATTTTTTTATTTTATTTTTTTAAATTAAATAATAAATTAAATGTTTATAAATTTTCTAGTTGTTTCAATTGAAATCGGCATTTTATCTCATGCACTAATGTAAATATTTTAAGTTAAGCTACCCTTTGAATTTATTGATTTTGTGAAATAGAATGAAATAGATTCGGCAGATTTTGGCAAAAATTTATTTGAAAATTCTCATCCAAGAGCTAATTTTCTCAGATTCAGTTCCAGTTTTTTTCTTACATGATTTCTCATTGTAACTAAAATCAAAGTTAAACTATTAAAATAATTCGCATCAAAATAAATCAGGCTCTTTCTAGAAATTTTATGAACCAACCATGAGCAATTTAATTTATTTGATCCTAACCAAAATAAATCTTAATTTAAAGATGATAATATAAATCGAATCTCGCACTTCGGTGCTTGATAATGGAATTTCTTTTTTCACCAATGCAACATTTTTTTCTAAAAAAAAAAAATCCATTTCACCGTAAAAAGCTTTTCCTATTGTCAAACTGCCGCAGCGATCAGGATTAGCGCAAACATTCTCCATGTTCAGATCTCTATTTATTTCATTTTTGCGTGCCCCAGATCGGGGATTGCTCTTTCCGCGATGTCTGTGTTATTGAAAAAAAGTACAAGGAAAAGAGGAAAAACCCTTTCATCCATCACTTTGAGAGCACAAAAAACACACGTATTCCCACAGACTCTGCAAATCATGACCTTATTTTATGGGAAAAGTATTGGAAAATGCGCGCGGGCCGCAGTGAGATTTATGGCGTTGCGCGCTATCAAAATAAATTTGCATAAATATAATATACATGCATGCAAAACGTATTTATCCCGATACATGTCTATCCGGGCCATCTCTCTCTCGTGATTCACAAAGCCACGCTATCGTCGTCATGCCAATGCGGCAGCTTTTCCATCAAACTCGCCTCGGCCGTTTCGCCTTCACTTGATTTGTAATCCAAAGTGCACCAAAGGTCGCCCGAGGCGGTGCCAAAACAAGGCGGAATATAATTTCGAGAGCCAATTTTAACCTAAAGCCGGGGCCGATTTTGCTGCCAATTCAATTATGATCTGAACCACCCTGGCTGGCACAAATAATACTCTTCTTTTCCCTGATGACCTCGTTTTTTTTTTACTTCTTTCATTCTTCCTTATTATTGTATTGTTCCTTTTATCGCCGAGTGTTGTTGGATATATTTTTATTCCCCTTGCTCTGTGGTCAACATTTATTGACAACATCATTCTTGGCACGAAAGAATCGCGCGCGCAGGAAAAAGAAGGAAAGAAAACGACCCTTCGTGCCGGCAAGTAACATCTTGGGACTGAATGTATTATTTATCTGGATTTCCTTCTTTCCTTGGCAGCTGCGCGCCGACGAGTTCGCGCTGCGTCAATCAAAACGGGCTGCCAGAGAGCCCATTTGGGTAGAAACGCTTGTTATGCCAGAAAGTGGGAATTTGCTCCGGCGAATCAGGGTCAAATCGAAATCCGCATATGCAGCTCTTTTGGGCAAATCGTTGCAATTTCAGCAGTTTTTTTCTATAAATTTGATTCCTTTTTATGATACATTGTAAAATTTGCTTCTCTTATTAAATTTTTACAATTTGTATTTAATTTGATCCAATCTGATCCGCCACTGTTCAATTTTTTTAATTAAAAATCTGAAATTTTGGTCATTAGAATTATTGCTCTTGTAAAATTAACAAATATTAAACAATTACAATATCAATTATTTTGATAATTTCAAAGAACGTTTCGTGCGTTATTGATACTGAAAAACGTGAAATCAACAAATTGGTTGTATAGAGAATTTGTTTTTTTAATATTGATAAATCTTACGTTTTAGATGCTTTTAGTTGTCTACTTATTAAAGTAAATTCTTTTGATTCTTTTGATAAAAACTGTTAGTTTTTATTCAAATATTTGTTTTAATTTAGTTAAAAAAAGTCACTTGATTCTCTCTTCTAGTCATTTTCACGCTATGGTCGCCAAATTTGGTGACTACAATTTATCAAAATTATCTGTTCAATATTTTCAGACAGTTGCAAAAAAATAGTTTCTTGGATTTTAAAAATTATATCTCTTAAAATTAAAATATTCCACTCGTAAGTCGGTAGAAAAAATATGCATAGCTAAGAACTATGTGATATATTATGCATTTTATATAATTTATAAATTTAATGTTATCATCATTTTAATTATAATATAAATTTACTATTATTGTAAATAGAAATCTTGAAAAAAATAGCATTGTAACAAAGTAAATTGCTTTCTGCAATTTTTGTGATTATTTTTAATTTCATTTACGGAGACATTTTTCATCTTATTTAAATTTTCGAAAATTAAAACTTTATGAATTATAAACCGAATGCATTTATTTGTACGAGTTCCAACTGTTCCAATATTACTACATTGTTATTAACCACTGGAAGCCATTTCCATACAAACTAGTATTAGTTCGCGGTTGATTTATTCACATAATAATTGCACGTTCGACGAATTCAGCCGGTTTGTTAAACCACTACTATGCATCCATAAATAATCAAGCTCTATGCGAGAAGTTTGCCGAGTGATTGATAAATTAATCTATATCACGGTTGTATTATCACGACGAATAAACCCGCATGAAATGAACATATTTGCTCGTTCAACTATACAAATTCAACAAACACGCCCATGACAAATTTATACATCAGCGAAATTATTTGAGCCATCATCCGCCCACGTGTCCTCCATTTATCTCCACAATTGCAAAAAAAATAGCCAAACCGATTTTATCGTTTTAGAGATAATTACCGCGATAAGCGGGTCTTATCGACGGCCATTAAGGTGTGCAAACTCGGCGCATTGCATTGTCTCTGCGTGATCTGGTCTGGAAATAATGCGTGGCTGCAGATTATCGCACCTGCGGCGAAGTGTGAAAGGCAATATAATGATAATTGCGCGCGGTGGTACCGAATTAACGAACGGTGATTGTGTGAGCAGGCGGCGCCAAAGGGGCACTCGCCAGGACGTGTTGTCTGCGGGCCGAGAAAAGCGACGCTTCGCCGGCGACCAGTTGAGTACTTGATTTCCTCCTCCGAAGGCGCGGCTCAATTTCAAAATCGATAATACGCGCGCCGGTCCTTCTCTCCCTCGAAATTTCATATAAAACCCTCTCGCCGGCTTTTTGTTGGCTCAGCTCACGGTTTTGTTCCGTCGCTTTTAATATGACTTCATTTTCTTCGGCCGATTCGGCGCTTTTTCTGTTTGTCTTTGTCTCCAACGTTCCGTTTGCCCAAGTTGTTAAACGGCCCTTTGATAATTCTAATGGAGACAAAATGCAAATACGCCGGAACGAATTTATAATTCGTGCTGCATCGCTCGCCAGTTTGCATTGCTAATTCGCGCTTGATTGTTTTGTTTCAGTTTTCCCCAATGTGCCGGCTGCAGCTGGAATGCCATGCCAAGGAGAAGACCGTGAGTTTCGCTCATTTCCACTATCTTAATTGCTCTCATTGTCCGCGCCAGACTTAAGTACATTATAAATTTTCATGAGACGTGGAATTTTCTGTTGCGACTTCTGAGAAAGTTGAGAATGATAAAAGCCTTTAATCGCCGTTATTGTAAATTAATAATTTAAATTTTGATCTACGATTGGAGAGAAAGGTTTTTTTAAATTTTTTGTTGCTATTGTGCAATTTTTATTCTTATTTTTTATGGAAAAATATAATATAAAAGGTTTATTAATTATTTGGTTTGATATATTAAAAGTTTATTTCGGTTTATTCAGTTCAAAAACTAATATTCCATAAATTTAACGGAAATTTTAAATAAAAAAATAACCGGATAACTAAAAAATAACACATTTTATCGCTAAAATTGCTCATCCCTCTTTAATAAATATTAAATTTTTATGGTGATTTGAATTTGAAGTCAGCTTTGATGGGTTTTGTGAGCTGTAAATTGTTCTAGAAAAATAATATCCTGCTCTACATATTTCGGCTACGGGCTGCAGCCATAATTCATGAGCTGTTAATTACGGCTGCAGCCCGCAGCCTAAACATGTATAGCAGGATATTGTTTAAATTTTATTTTAAAGCAAAAACTAACGATTTAAAAACTCTTAATTTTAAATTTATTTACTAAACTCACAGACCATCTATTGACCCACATCATGTCAGTGGCCAAAAAATTAATATTAATTTTTCTTTAAATTATTTTATATATTAGAACTTGCGAGATTCTGATGATTTAATAAAATTTCTGATTTAAATTTTTCAATTTTTGTTCAGTTTCCGCCAAATTTATTTTGAACATTAATTTTTAAGAACAAAAATTCTGGTGAAATATTATATAGAAGTATCTGGATCAAGTCGAAATTAAATTCAATCGATTCCTGTTAGTGAAGAATTTTTCTCATTAAAATATAAAAGTATTCTATCTTCCTTCTCCCCTTTTCTTCATTGCAAAATCGGTGACGAAGCTAATTAGTGATATTCTCCAGAAAGCAATCAGCCGACTTCCTTTTTTTCTTTCCCCCGATCAAGCTCCTGCTAATGAGTCCCCAGTCGGCCGCCCCATTGTTAACGCTTTCCTGCTCGCCTCTGGGCCGACCGACTGCCCTTTCGATGCAAATGAGTCATCGTCGCTGCTTAGCCACTTAATAAAATCGTCCGTCGGCCAGTCAGTCAGTAACTCACTCAGCAGTCAGTCGATATTTGGCCGAGAAGCGAGTCTGTGCGTTGTCTTTAGTCGGTGCTGCCGAGAAAGAATGATCTGGGGATTTTTCGCTCGCACTCTCGAGGGTGTGTTTCAAAGGGCCGTCGAGCAAATGGTAGATTTCGACTTGATCCAGTGCAAAATCGTCGACGTGCTAGGTACGGACCGAGAGTGAAAGAGACGAACAGACAAAAGACCCTCTTGCGTGCGAGTCGAGATGGATGATTTTGATTCTGATCTTTTCAGGGAGCATTTATCGGAGGGGCGCTCGGCGCTGGCGGAAGTTGTACTTGGTCAACGGCCACATCTTCCAGGCCAAGAGGTTCAACAGGGTGAGTCGAATTAATTATTCTTTTTAATAAAAAATATAGAATTAATCAAAGTAACTTAGATCTGTTATAAATCAATAAAAATTGAATTTTGGTAATATCTTCTCTAATAATTTTGCTTTAATTTATCTCTCATAATAAATCGGCAATTTGAGATGAATTAGAAGAATTCAATGTAAAATGACAATTAGAAAAACTGAATTTGTAAACAAAAAATATGACGAACCTTAATTGAGTTAAAAAAATAGGCCAATTTTGGTAAAAACCGAATTGAGAGAAATTTAAAAAAACCCAAATTCAATATATTTGAAAATGCAAATTTATGTTAAATCGGAAAAAAATATTTTCAGATGAATTAGGAAAAATCAATCTACCTTAAATCAGAAAAAGTGAATATTTAATAAATTTGAAAAAGGTAAATTAAGGCATCTAATAAAGCTAAAATAAGCTGATTTAGGAAAAATTAGAAAAATCCAAATTGAGATAAATTAAAAAATACCCTAATTAAATATTTAAAAAATTAAATTATTGTAAATCAGAAAAAGTTAATTTAAGATGAATTAGAAATTCTGATAAAGCTAAATTAAGGTGAAAATGAATAAGCTGATTTAGGAAAAATTAGAAAAATCCATATTGAGATAAATTAAAAAATACCCTAATTAAATATTTAAAAAATTAAATTATTGTAAATCAGAAAAAGTTAATTTAAGATGAATTAGAAATTCTGATAAAGCTAAATTAAGGTGAAAAAGAATAAGCTGATTTAGGAAAAATTAGAAAAATCCATATTGAGATAAATTAAAAAATACCCTAATTAAATATTTAAAAAATTAAATTATTGTAAATCAGAAAAAGTTAATTTAAGATGAATTAGAAATTCTGATAAAGCTAAATTAAGGTGAAAAAGAATAAGCTGATTTAGGAAAAATTAGAAAAATCCATATTGAGATAAATTAAAAAATACCCTAATTAAATATTTAAAAAATTAAATTATTGTAAATCAGAAAAAGTTAATTTAAGATGAATTAGAAAAAGTCAATCTACCTTAAATTGGAAAAAGTGAATTTTTTATAATTCTGATAAAGCTAAATTAAGATGAAAAAGAATAAGCTGATTTAGGAAAAATTAGAAATATCCATATTGAGATAAATTAGAAAAAGTCAATTTAGGTCCATCAAATAAAATATTTATGACACAATTCAAAAAGATCCTGTGTCGGAATGAACTAAAATTTTATAAAAAAAAATTCAGTCTTTGCTCTACTTATCTTATTTAATTATATTTTTATTTGCAATGTCCTGATTAAGAATTTAACCGTTTTCTGACTCTTGCTTTTTTTCTTTGCTTTCAGAGAGCATTTTGCGCTTTTTGCCGGGACCGAATATGGGGCCTCGGCCGGCAAGGATTCAAATGCAACCAGTGCAAGCTGCTGGTGCACAAGAAGTGTCACAAACTGGTGCAGCGACCGTGCAACGCGGACCAGCACCACGACGATTCGCGAGACCGAGAAGAACACAACGGCGGAGGTAGCTTTTTGCCAGAGCCAGATTATTATGGGCACACGTATAGAAAAGCAGGTCAGGGAGAAATTTCAGTTCAAAACTTGTCGATGTTCTGTAGATGAGCAAGCGAGCAACTCGATGTTGTTGCCTTTCGTCAGTAGGTAACCTTTGAGTAGATTTTTACCAAACAACGCCAGACGAATCTGGTTCGTTTTTATTTCGATTGGTGTTCAGAACTTTCAGTCGAGGGAAATTTATTTGAATTTCTGCAGTAAAATCCTATTTGTATAATAAATTTCCTGAAATTTGAAAGTTTCATTTTTATTTAATTTTAAAAACTATTATTTGTTCTCTTTATTTAGCCTGAAAGTAGTAGTTTTCAAGTTTCAAGCATGTGCGTCAATATTGCGCTTGATATTATAGTTTTGGACTGAATTTCAGTTAGAAAAGGGGCTCTACGGACACGACCCTCGTATCTGATACATTATTTAGGATTAGAGCATGCCTTGACGGCCATAGACGGTCGTAATCTGACTTGGGAAAGTCGCTTCATCAATGTTTCACGCTGTACCGTCTCTTCTCGTCACTAATTTCTTTTCCGCCCACGCAGGCACTCCGACATCAGACTTGCTGCCAGATTCCAAAGAATTCCATGAATCTCCCGATGTGACTAACGAGTCAGTAGCAGTAGAAGATCCGGCCAAGTGTAAGTTGAAACAAATTTTGCACTCCATCAACTCTCTCTGCCTGCCCGATGCAAACTTTCATTTCTCATTATTTTTCACTGCTTTCACATAGACTGCTATATTTACTCACGCTGTAAGTAAAATCTGTGCACCGCGCGGCTTTGCTTCCTTCGTTTGTTCCGGCTCTGATTTTTACGCACTTGTTTCTTTTCGCAGCCGACGAAGCTCTAGAACCTGGCACGCAGCGCCAGTACTCGCTCAACGACTTTGAACTGATTCGTGTTATTGGAAGGGGCAGCTACGCCAAGGTGCTGATGGTCGAACTGAAGAAGACGCGCCGCATCTACGCCATGAAAGTCATCAAGAAGGCGCTCGTCACCGACGACGAGGTAATAAAAAAAAACCCCACCTTTGGCTAATTTGAATTTAATTGATTGCTCTTGGCAGGATATCGACTGGGTGCAAACGGAAAAGCACGTCTTCGAGACCGCCTCAAACCACCCGTTCTTGGTTGGCCTCCACTCCTGTTTCCAGACTCCAAGTAGATTGTTCTTTGTGATCGAGTTTGTGAGAGGAGGAGATTTGATGTTCCACATGCAGAGGCAGCGCCGTCTGCCTGAAGAGCATGCCCGCTTCTATGCAGCGGAAATCAGCCTGGCGCTCAATTTCTTGCACGACAAAGGTAAATAAAAACAACAATGATATATTTGTGACTTAAATACTCTTTAAATTAATGTAAATCTGAAATTTCCGATGTCTATTGATTGGACATTCAGTTTTCAAAGTGTTTGCATTTCCTTATCTATAATTTGTATTATAATTTTATTTATTTTATTCTTTTCTTTTTATTTCCTGCATTGAGGTGGTAAGTTATTTTCTTTTACAATCACCTTTATTTTTGCTATGGATTTTATCAATCATGGTTAATTTGATTGTTCTTTTCTCAGGCATTATTTACCGTGATTTGAAACTGGACAACGTCCTGCTCGATCACGAGGGTCACATTAAACTTACTGACTACGGGATGTGCAAGGAGGGAATACGACAAGGCGACACGACTTCTACATTCTGCGGCACGCCAAACTACATTGCTCCTGAAATCCTCCGAGGAGAGGATTACGGCTTCAGGTACTCAATTTTAATTCAAATTAATTACAAACTAAATGAATTCCTGCTGCAGCGTCGACTGGTGGGCGCTCGGAGTTCTGCTTTACGAAATGCTGGCTGGAAGAAGTCCATTCGACATTGCCGGGGCTTCGGACAATCCCGATCAAAACACTGAGGACTATCTTTTCCAAGGTCAGTTTTGGAGCAATCATTTTAAAACTGATTTTGATTTACGTGTAATGTTTGCAGTTATATTGGAGAAGACCATTCGAATTCCCCGCTCCTTGTCTGTGAAGGCAGCGTCGGTCCTCAAGGGCTTCCTGAACAAAAATCCAGCTGATCGTCTAGGTTGCCATCGAGAATCAGGATTCCTGGACATTGTCAATCATCCCTTCTTCAAAAGTATTGATTGGGAGCTGGTAAGCGTTTGTCTCTTCATTTATCACAATTTTATTATTTTCATAATGACTTGGTAGGCAATCCGTGATCCTTCTGATTATATTTGACTCACTCGAATAAACAAAAATAAGTATTCAACTGAGTGAGATTGAAATAAACATTTTTAACAAATTTTGATTTTCACTTGGAAAATATTTATGTGTAACTTATGAGCCAAATTAATCAAAGGATTGGATTGCTTTCGTAATAGTCTGCACATCATTTCATACCATTTTCAGCAGCCTGCTTGACCTTTTCTGTTATTTTTTTTCTTCTGATTAGAGCCCGCCAATAGGCCTTTGATTTGATAATGCATTTTACCATTAGGCCCAAACAACTCTTACTTGCATTAGATCGGCATGAGTCGCGCTTCAGCCTCTTGCTACCATTCCTCAATCACAAACATTTGCCCAGACCATACAAACTGACTCACATTGGAATGACGCTTGTTTCATCCAACTAACAATTTGAATCCGTCTTGTAAACACGAGCGACCCATTCTTTTGCAGCTCCACGAGAAACAAATTTCGCCCCCATTTCAACCCCAACTCGAGTCAGAGTTTGACTGTGACAATTTTGACCCCCAGTTCACTTTGGAGCCGGTTCAGTTGACTCCAGATGACGAGTAAGTCTCTGCGCCCCTCTTTAATCGCATTTCCTCCCCCGCGAGCTTTGGTCAGGGTTATAATTAGAGTTAAGAAAGAAAGAATAGGACAAGGTCATGCTGGCTGCTGCTTTGAGCACCGAAGGTAAGAGTGTCGGATTTTTGCAGCTGAATCAAAGACAAGTGGCGCCGCCTTACAAACCAAGACTAGATTCAGATCGTGATCTTGCAAACTTCCCACCGGAGTTCACTGACGAACCAGTACATTTAACACCTGACGATCAGTAAGTTTTGTAATTTATAGAATTTTGAAGGCAACAAATGGATGCAATATTTCCAATATTTTTAATTACTTTGGAACTCTCTTTATTAAAAAAAATATGACCCTGAAAAAATAGAGAATAATTGCAGGGTTTCGAAGAAAAAAACAGGTTTATTTAAAATGAAAAAATGCACTGCTATTTTCTGGTGTTTTTTCAGTATTTTGCTACTTTTAGTTGAATAGTTTCAAATAATTCTCATAAATAGTAAATTAACATAAGAACTTTCATAATCATGAAGGTAATTCAAGCAATACATACAAGACATTTACATTCCTGAGAAAAAAATAATAAATGAATGTCATTTAGCATTTACACCACTTCTGGCATAGTTTTTTACTTCTTTCAAAATAAAATTAAAAAAATCTCGCAAAAAAAATGTAAGGTTTTTTTCAATCTACTTTAAACTAGAAAAAGTGAATTTTTAATAAATTTGAAAAAAAAATGTAAATTAGAAAAAGTTAATTCAAGATGAATTAGAAAAAGTCAATGTACCTCAAATTAGAAAAAGTGAATTTTTTATAATTCTGATAAAGCTAAAATAAAATGAAAAAGAATTAGCCAATTTAGGAAAAATTAGAAAAAAACAAATTAAGATAAATTAGAAAAAGGTAATTTAGGTCCATCAAATAAAATATTTATGACACAATTCAAAAAGATCCTTTGTTGGAACAAACTAAAATTGTATAAACAAAAATCAGTCTTATTTAAAATAAAAAAAATCGCTGCCATTTTCTGGCGTTTTTTACTTATTTCAGTTGAATAGTTTCAAATAAATCTCATAAATAATAAATTAACATAAGAACTTTCATAATCATGAAGGTAATTCAAGCAATACGTTCAAGACATTTACAATCCTGAGAAAAAAATAACAACTGAATGTCTTTAAGCATTTTCACCACTTCTGGCATAGTTTTTTACTTCTTTCAAAATAAAATTAAAAAAATCTCGCAAAAAAAAATGTAAGGTTTTTTTAAGTGCAAACAACCGGCGAATCTGAATAATTTTTCTGATGTAATTTATATTTCAAATTGTTCATAAGTTTTTGACAACTTATATAATTATTTTCTAAAATTTTGATGTGGTTTTTTTCAGGAGGGTGATTGAAAAGATCGATCAGTCCGAGTTCGAAGGTTTCGAGTACGTCAACCCGTTACTGATGTCTCTAGAGGACTGTGTGTGACGTCCAGGATCGCGGGGGCCTCCTCCCCCGCCTCCTGCCCGGTACTCATCGGTCAGCGCCAACACAAGGAAGAGGGCGACATCGTTGGTGCGGCCTTTGCCTCGACCTCCACCTCCGGACAGACCCTCGACACCGTTAGAACCCCCGTACATGGGGAGCCTCAAATTATCAACGCGCTCGATGACTCTCACTTTGTAAATTCTAATTCCCCCTCGGGCAGGACGAAAGAAACGACGGGATTATTTTCATAAAAGAGTGTTACAAAAATTGGCTATCTAAAAATTCTGCAGACTTGTTAGCGTCAGAGGTTAATCGTTATTGCAAAAGTTGCGTCTAGTAATTGGGTGTTGAATTCTGGTAATTAGCTGACTCACTTAATTAAAACCGTACTATGAAAGAAACTGTGAACGCTTTGATATAACAAAAGGTAGCTATGATTGTTGACTAAATCCCTTAGAGAGATAATATTGAAGTAAGGTACTTCCGAATTGTATTGTTAGTTGAAGAAATCTTGTCCAAACCAAGTTGCTCATGTTATACATGTTATTAACTTACAAAGGCTTTTAAAAATATCTTGATCTAGCAGCTCATTCTTGACATTAAAAAAAATTGTTATCCTGCAAGTGAATTGATGCTATACTGCAAAAGTAGAGGAAAAGCAAGTATTTTGATCTTATAGCTTGAAGATACTTGATTTTAAACTTTTAGTTCGTCCGTTGTACTTAATTATTTTAGCTACCTGCTATTTTTTAGTAAGCTATTTTTATCATTTGACCGTGGTTTCTATTTACTGAGTATATTTGTAATGCTGTCGATAAGTATTTTGGTGCTGCTGACTTGGTCAATAGTATTTTTTCCCATTTTATTGTAAACTTCCACGCATTAATTATTAATTGATATTTACGAAGTAAAACGCTGAGCATTTGCTATGCATTCCAGTATCTCATACCATATATTTTGTCTAATATCACACTTAAGATTCCATTTAATCGCACGGAGACGATTGCATGCAATTGTCAACTTTAGTAACGAGGTCATGCTGTTGCACGCCGCCTAATGTTGTATTTTAAATAGGGCAAAACGCGTTTTAATTATTTTTAACCTAAATTAATTATTGAGAGAAAGGATATAATCAAAAGGAAAGTAATTATTATATTATAATAGCGTTATCAACTAATCAACTATCGAGCAATTTTTGTAAAAAGCACGCATCGTTTAGAGCACCTATGTTTTTTTATCACCCTTTTGTGTACATAGACGCATTTTCATGTTTAAATTATCATCTCACGCTATACAACTACATAATGTACACATGCATTCCTCGAATTTTACATTCCATTTTTAATTTGGTCACTTATCAGTTGTTTTACCAAAGATGACGAGGAAAAGGTGTATTTTGACAAAATATCTTTTAATGATTTCAACGCGAACGTGGAGAGCCACTCGCAGAGAATTGAATGTAAGCAGCCTTATCATGTATCGTGTTTTAGGATTACCTACTTGTACACTACATAACTGGCATTTTATGTGTCCACCAGTTGGATTTAATTATACATTTGTTCAAGAAATAAAATTATTGGCTATATAATATGAAACTGTATTTTTCTTCTGAATCAATGTCATAGAAAAAACTCCAATTGAATATTTGAAAAAGCAAATTAATGTTAAATCAGTAAAAGATAATTTAAGATGAATTAGGAAAAGTCAATCTACCTTAAATTGGAAAAAGCTAAATTAGGGTGAAAAATAATAAGGTAATTTAGGAAAACTTAGAATAAATGAATTTTTTATAATTTTGATAAAGCTAAAATAAGGTAAAAAATAATAAGCCAATTTTGGAAAAATTAGAAAAAACCAAATTGAGATAAATTAGAAAAAGTCAATTTAGGTCCATCAAATAAAATATTTACGACACAATTAAAAAAGATCCTTTCTTGGAATAAACTAAAATTGTATTAAAAAAAGTCTTTGCTAATTCAATCTAATCTAAGTCTTATCTAATTTAATTATATTTTTATTTACAATGTACTGATTAAGAATTAAACCGTTTGCTGACCTTCGCTTTTTATTTTTGCTTTCAGAGAGCATTTTGCGCTTTTTGCCGGGGCCTTTCTTCTGAATCAATGTCATAAATAATAATAAAAAAATAATTAATTTAAAATATAATATTGTAAGGATTTGTTTTAATTATTTTTGTTGATTTTTATTTGGTGGATTCTGGGCTTTTTTGGTGAGGGAGAATTCCGTCATCAGAAGATCAGAAGGAGTCCCTTGCTCTTGATAATAAATAATAATTATACATCTTTTGTTAGCTTTTTCACAAAACTCATAGAGTTTATTGTCTAAGGATGTGAGATTAATTTTTCAATATTGACCGGGTATTAAGTTAAAAATAGTTGGTTTTCCACAAAATATAATTTTGTGCAGCTCGAAAATTATTTTATTAGCACTTTCTTCATCATCATCAGTCATAAAATCGAAAAGCTCCAAATCGGTTCCACATACGAGAATATCCAGACCATTAAGAAGTGGTTGTTATTTTTCGGCTGTTGAAAAATTTAAGTCAAATTGTGTATGTATGAAAATTCGTTTTATAAAAATAATATTATTCAATAGAAAAAGAATGATCAAGGAACCATAATTTCGAATTAAATACTAATTTAGATAATGAAATTAATCAATTATTAAAAAAATATTTTTAATTCTTAAATCAAACTGATATTTTACTGCAAGCCTTAGCAATTTAATCAACGTTTAGATGCTCAAGAGGCACGTTTCTGACTTCTGACTTGCACTTGCAAATTGCAGGAAAGATGAGATTTCAGGAGTTTTTTTGGATCAAAAAGTAAGCAACCTTACTTAGAATATATAACTAACCTCACTTTTATATTATTAATTTATTTATTTCAAAATTTTACAATCAAAAGGCCGAACCCAAAATAGGATGATTATATTTCTTATTATTATTTTCATAAAATATTACATATATGATTTTTGCAGCAGAATTCTAGATGTTTCTTTTTAATTTTTCGATGATTTATAGCAAATCATTATTTTTAGCTTATTTTGCAATCGTTATTTCTCGAAGTTTTCCAAACCATAACACAGCTTGAAGGATGGAAATAAATCAACCTCTATGCCATGAGTGAAGGTGGCCCAGCCTACTCAGTTGAATCAATATATTTGAATTCGCAAACGCCCTTTGTTTGTGCGGCCGGAATTAGCCGCGGTTTAAAAATAGTCGTCGCACATCTATATCAGTAGGCGAGTGAGAAAGAAGGTGAGTAGTTTAATTTTAAACGCAACCCTTTGCTATTTTCGCCGCTGGCATTATTTTATCCGCGCTTCTTAAATTATGAGCGGGCCGGCCGCGGCGGGGTGTGCATTTCAGCGACATGACAGTTCCAAATTGAGCTGGAATGCTCGCTTGGGCGCCAAAGGATTGCCGCCGCCCGGTGCCGCTCATATCGTTTTTTGCCAATACATTTTATTTTCTCGCACAGCGTCCCATTCTGCGATGAAGAGACGCGGCGCCAGCCAATTTCGCATGACCTGAAATTCTCTCTCGGCAGTATCATCGCGCTGAGAGATGTTTTTGCCACGCGGCTGACGCCTGGCGAAATTCTTGCTGTCCGTGTTTATCGTTTCAAAACTTTTTGGCACGATTGTTAAGCCGTTACTTCTAGAATTAATTCTCAATATTTTTTACGCTTCAATTGCTTTTAAAATTAAGCATATATCATTTTTTTTCCACATTGATAAAAATCGGCTGAAAATTAGGATTCTTTTTCACCTTAATTTAGCTTTTTCAGATTTATTACAAATTCACTTATTCTTATTCAGGGTAAATTAATTTTTTCTAATTCAACTCAAATTAGCTTTTTATTATTTATCCTAAATTGGCTAATTCTTTTTCACCTAATTTAGCATCATCAGATTTATTATATATTAACTTTTTCTAATTTAAGGTACATTAATTTTTGCTAATTTATCTCTAATTATCTTTTTCTTATTTTACATTTATGTGGCCATTTCCAAATCAATCTAACCAGTGTTTGGCATGGGTTGTTGGATTTGGATGAAACTTGGCATGGTGATACCCTTAGGGTAGGTGGTCAACCTAAGGTATATAGTTAGTCCAATATCCCAACATTGCCTATTTTACAGGGTCTCAAAGTGGCGATTTTTGCAAAAATTAAGTTTCCTTTAATCTCAATTATCTCGGGTTCTAGTGAAACAATTTCAAAAAACTTGACACCGTTTGAAAGCCAATTAAATGGACTTGAATTCGGCTATAGCGTCAAGGTCGCAGGTCAAAGTTCAAGGTCTTTAAAATTTTGATGAAATTTTAAAAACGCCGCCAGATATTGAAGGACCAAAAATATTAAAATCTTTTCCACAGAAATAATGTTCCAAATTTAATTTTACATCGGTGTATAAATTTTGGTGGTATTTATTTTCTTAATTTTTGAGATATCTCCAGGGGAAGTTAAAAAAACGTGGTTTTTTGGCCCTTTTTTGAGGTTGTAAAATATTAAACGCCTTTAATTTTGCTAAATTTGCCATAAAATTAAGCAAATACACTTCAGGAATGAGGAACTGTCATACATAATGCAATTCAATGATCAGAGTCGATTTTGAAATCCACCCCTACCCCTGGGGATGGGTTTTGGGGTTAATTTTAAATATGCCCAATGTTTGTGTTTTTGATGTCATTTACTATGTTTTCGACATCCAGGAACACGAATCTGAAGTCAGTTTTTGTTTAAAATTAATAGCTTTATTAATAATCGCACTTGAATGCAGTGTGTTCTCAGCTTCTCGCGATTCGTCGGACGATCAAATTCGCCTCATTCAAGTGCGATTATTAATAAAGCTATTAATTTTAAACAAAAACTGACTTCAGATTCGTGTTCCTGGATGTCGAAAACATAGTAAACGACACAAAATCACAAACATTGGGCATATTTAAAATTAACCCCAAAACCCATCCCCAGGGGTAGGGGTGGATTTCAAAATCGACTCTGATCATTGAATTGCATTATATATGACAGTTCCTCATTCCTGAAGTGTATTTGCTTAATTTTATGGCAAATTTAGCAAAATTAAAGGCGTTTAAAATTTTACAACCTCAAAAAAGGGCCAAAAAACCACGTTTTTTTAACTTCCCCTGTAGATATCTCAAAAATAAAGAAAATACATACCACCAAAATATATACACCGATGTAAAATTTAATTTGGAACATTATTTCTGTGGAAAAGATTTTAATATTTTTGGTCCTTCAATATCTGGCGGCGTTTTTAAAATTTCATCAAAATTTTAGTGACCTTGAACTTTGACCTGCGACCTTGACGCTATAGCCGAATTCAAGTCCATTTAATTGGCTTTCAAACGGTGTCAAGTTTTTTGAAATTGTTTCACTAGAACCCGAGATAATTGAGATTAAAGGAAACTT